TTTTTTTTTTTTGTAAAATATATTTTTTATTTTGCAAATGTGATCAATATTTTCTAGATAATTATTCAAAAACATTTTTTATATCTATATATAATTTTTATATAATTTGGTTGCTAAAACTAGTACTTTTAGATAAGCATGTTAGGAGAATTTACGTACAGGCAAAGATGCCATTTTACTGCTCTAGACGGTGAGACAAACGGTGACCCACCACGTCATGAATTACCTTAAAGGTCTACCTGTTTTTTAAATAATGAAATAACATTGTATTAGGGGCTAATTATCTATGTGTAAACTTATTTTTTCAAAAAAATTTTTTTTTCATGCACTGAACATCAAAATCAAAAGTTTAAAACTGCCGCCTGTTTATTGTTATTACTACTTCTACTTATTGGAGATGATTATACTGTTTATTATTGGTAAAAAATTACCTTTTCAAAATTGGCAATGGCAACATAAATTCTAAAGATATAAGGTCACGTGTGCTTTATTATTATTATTATAGCAACTTCAATTATTGTCTGCTTTGTAACTTAATTCTCATAAAATAGATGAGTTTATTATTTTTTATTTTTATTTATTTATTTATTTATTTATTTTTTTTTTTTTTTTTGCTACTATGCATTGTATCTTATTTGTAACATTTGTATTTCTTCTTCGAGCCACTCTGAGGCTCTCACTACTGAGTTTTGTATACCTTTTAGATGAGTTTTATTTTGCTGTTTAAAAAAAATCAACTGCTTAGAAGTTTTTTCAGCTGCAACTGCATTTTTTTAAGTATAAATTATTGTCTGCTACTTATCAGTTTTGTTTTTATACAAAATGGTGCTTTTAAAGAAGCAATGGATGCAAAGCTATTTTTGTGCTCTTTCAAAAAAAATATTCATATTTTTTATTAAAAATTATTTAAAAATGCTGTGAAAGCCACAGGATTTTTCAGTACTTAAAGCTACCATAATAATATTGTCAAAAAAGAAAGAAAAAAAATTCAAAGTTTTGCATCAAGTGGAAAAATTGTACCAAATACATAACAAAGGAAAAAATGGAATGCTTTGAATGTTGCAAAGATCTTTAATATTAAAAGAAAATCCACCAAGTCAAAGGACAGTTGTAAAATCGTTAAAATGTTTAGTGTCAACTGTAAACAAAGTGATTAATGCTAATTTGAATCTTAAAATGGTAAAAAAACATTGTGAGCATCACCTTTCTCCAAAAATATCCTCAAACATAAAACTTGCTGCAGAACTCAGCATGAGAAACATTTATCTGAACAAAAATAGAAAAATGCTATCACAATAGGTGAATTTTGGATGTATTTAAATGACTGGAATAAAAACAGATTCATTTATTATCATTAAAGAGGGCAAAAATTATTAAAACATGGATCAAAGAACCTAACAAAAGTTTTTCAATGGGATTTATGATTGTCGCTGGTTTGTCATATAATGGCAAATTAAAAATAAAAAGAGTTCAGAAAATGTTAAAAACAACTCCACATATTGGCAGGATATATTTTATAACCAATTTTCAAATATAAAATACCTTCTCTTTATCTACAGTGCCATCAATCAGTGGAACTATATCAAGACAAAGCAAGCAGCCACATACCAAAATCCACTGTTTATTTCCTAAGGAAAATGGAGCCAGAAATGAGTATCTTCACCTATGTCCATACTAAATGTCTTGAAGCAAAACCAAACAAAGGATCCACACTAACCATTTCAGATGCTGCTGAAGAATTTGTAACAATAATAGAACTGTAGCAGAAACTGCAGCTAGATTTCTTAAAAATTCTGCTTCAAGATTTGAATAAACTGCATAATGGATATTACTAAAAAGCTAAAACAAGGAATTAGAAGAAATTGATGTTTGTTTAGAGGAATTTGAAGTGTATTATGAAAAAGATGAGTTAAATCATTTAAAACTTTATTACTCAATATTCAAATAGAAGTTCGAGAAATGAACTAAAATTTGATGCTAATTCAGAAGTCAAACAACAAAAATCAGTTCAATTTAATTTAATTGATTCTTTACATGTGTAATTTTGAATTTTTACAGGTCTAATTTTTTTTTAAGGTTCAATTTAATTTAATTAATTTTCAATATTTTCAAATTTTCACAGGATATTTGAAAATATAACGCTGATTTTTGTTGTTTGACTTCCGAATTAGTATTTGTTCAGCGTGTTATTGTGTTTTAATTAAAAGTTGATGGTTCTCATGCCATGAATTAAAATACTCCTAATACTTCTGTTCCCCTAATTCCCCTACCAGAATTCTCTGGTTTGGACAAGGAATGGAGTAATTTCAAAACTACTTTTAATAATCTAATATCTTAAAATCCTCATTTAACAGATTCTCAAAAATGTTTTTATTTACACCATGTGCTCTGAGGTCAAGCAAGGTTAATTCAAACCTCAGGTGACACATATTTAAAGCATTAGAAGACGAATAAAATTAACAAAAAAAAAAAAAAAAAAAAAACCATTACAAGAAAAATAATTATGACAACAAAAAATAATCATAGATACACATGTTCAAAACATTATAAATTATCTCAAACTTAGAGTTGGTTTAAGAACTTTAAGAAAGGCTAGATCATGGGGGGAAAAAAAAAAAAAAAAGAATATGTGGACAATTATTAGATTTTGATAAAATTTAATTGCCAGACTCCATAACCATCCCTTCATGGATTAATATGTCTCCTCATTAATTTAAGACATTTTTAAGTGACAGAATTTCAAGCATTCAGCAGCTCACTTCAGATGGGGTCATGTACTCACGGAGAGTAATCCAGAAGATAATCTCATGTGGACTGTTCGCTAGAGACATATCATAAAATGAATGTGGTGGCATGGTTCACAGTTTTTACAAGAAACACATCAGCCAGAATAAGACATGACAAGTTCTACAGACAATCATCTAAAAGAATTGTGACCACCTGTGAACACTGTATTTACTTTGATTGTAGATTAGGATATTTTCGACAATCTCATGAACTTGACTAATAATTATATTAATAAGAATTTTAAGTTTTTTCCGTTTCATACATAATACAAGAAACCTAGCTGACAACATAGAGGACCACTAATGTCAGAAGGAATAAAAAGATGTTCTAATTATTAGAGTTCAGTAAATGTTACCTCTTTGGACAACCTCCCTTTAAACTGGACCACACGTCACGTTAAAAACTAAATCAAGATTTCTTAATCCTTTTTAAAATAAAAACAGTCATCAGTGTTGGAAAGCATTTGAGTCAGTCAAGTCTGACCTATAATCAGAAATATCTTACAGTTTTGCAAGCTGGTAGCAAACTAACAAAACTTATGCAATATTATCACAGAAAGTCCTTACACACAGAACTATCAATAAATGTAATCCAGATCCAGAACTCTTAAGACAGGCAAGATAATTTGTTACCATGCTGGCAGAGGAAAACTAAAGTTTCCAACAAGTATGGAAAACATGGCACTGCGATTATATTAACCATCTGTAAAAAAGGGCTAAATGGTAATTTTTCTAAAGATAATGCCTCTCCTGCACTCTTGCATTGTTCAAGGAAGATAATTTATCTCTCTGCAAATGGAAGAAGTAGAAGAAGAACAACTAACAGCTGGTCTGATGGTAAAATTCGTGTGGTGATTGTAAGAATGTCAAGTAGTCCCTTTAAAAGATGCATTTAAAAAATGTACACATTGCCTGTCCAGTGAGACACTGTTGTTTTATGTAGTCTTAAATTTATCAGAACTATTTATTAATCATTTGCTTTGTAGCTTATAAAAAAAAATTTTCTTAATTTTTCTTGCTACTAGTAGCATTGTGTTTCTCTTAATTTGTAACATTTTTAAAACTCAAGCATGAATAAATATAATCATTGAACAGTGATAAAAGATATATTGTCTGTTAAACTCCTATTACGGTCTTAATAACTCAGAGCAAATTAAAGCTACATTGCCCTGTAAGGAGGAGTTATTATTATGTCTGTGAGGGAAACTTGTCAGGTAATCATGCAACTTTGCCACCTCATGTAAATAAGGCTTAAGAGATTTTTCATAGTTTGTGAGCATTAAACAAGAATTTCAACAAGTATCTGGAAGACTAATTTTGATGCAAATATATTGAGAGAAATTTATCTGTCAACAAAAATTCAAATGCTTTAGCGGAATCGTGAATGTATTAGATAAAAAAATTTCATTACCTACATTTTCTGAATCATTTTTTCACTTTCATTATTGAGCTGCATTTATATAAGTATAGCGTACATTTATATACTATACTTACTCAAAAATATGACCCTCTCAAATATCAGACAGACTTATATTTTAGGATAAATTTTAGGAAACAGAAATGTAGCTGAATATTTGATAAATTCAATAAAACTATGGTTTCTTATTAGAACTGATTTGTTTCAGATTTATATTCATGGATTAGAATGAAAGGGAAGCTGCCTAATTAAGCACAACATTTTACTATGATATAGAAAGAAAAATTAGGGAAAATTTATGATACATTATTACATATTTGTTTTCAGGTATACCAGTATAGTAAATGCAGATCTAAACTGGAATTGCTCAACTACATATAGATATTATTTGCATTCAGATATTGGCAGCCACAAGTAGTTTATATGCACAATAATTACTGTATGGTTTATTTAGTTAAATTATTCTAAGTTTAACACTTAAACTCATCACTCTCATTCTGCAATTTCGTTTAATAAAATGCATATTTATAAGATCCTGCCAAATTTTGGAACAAAAATGCAGCAAAAAATGGGGGTCTTATTTTTCAGTAAATGGAGTAGTAAACATGAAAAATAAAAGAAGACTCTAATTATAAAATACAAGTATATCTATTTCAAATAAAAATGAACTTTCAATACACTTAGCTCTGTTACTTGTATACCTTGTAGATTAATAAAATTTAGTATAATTTATATACTTTGTGTTACACAGACATAAATGAATTAAATTATTTGCATAAAATTTCTTGAAGCATTACCTTATTGATGGGTTTGCATAGTAATTTTCTTATTTGCAGATCTCGGCGGGCACATAAAGCCCGCCTGTAAGGGCCAACTTGTTTAAAAATATTAACGCGTTCCTTCTTATTTTGTGATATTGCTACATGAAATGCTGCCAACTGATGTTCCATTACAAATTTCTTCTCTTCTTTTTTCTCTCCATTATCTGCATTTCCTAGAGAAATAAATTTGTACATATACATATATATTTCAATCATGATAAACAAACTGTAATTCTATAAGAGGAATTTTTCTTACTCCTACATAACACATCTATGTAGATGCCCTGACAGTCACCAGACATTTGATAAATTCATAAAAAAAAATGAGCAAGATGTCATAGAAATATATGGTTTGCATTAAGTCAAAATCCAAGTCATGAATTTTGAATTTTCTTAGAAACAGAAAATATCACTTCAAAATTTCATCAGTAGATGGTACTGGAGCATAAGAACTGTTACGTGTGTATGGTTCATAATGGATTGAATGCACACAGAATCGATGACAGCTTAATAAAATTTATTTTTCCAAAAGAATATTTTACAGTTCTGTAACTTTTCACAAAAGTACTCCTTTTCTCAGTATGATAGAGCACAATTAATAGTTACCACTTCAAACTGCTAAGTTTTTTTTTTAAATCTAATGGCAAGCACCTATTAAGCACTAGCCACTCCTAGGCCAGAAGTGGTGGCCATTTTATCGTTGAGGCACCTAATAAGCAACCACCATTGCCTCTTACAAAGAGATGGACAGTTACAACTATACCTTTCCCAGGACTTGAATCCGGGCACTTTGGTACCCCAGTAGGCTTCCCTAACAACTAAACTGTCTGGTTGGTACTACTGAGTTGTTTAACACAATGAGCAAAACCTGCACGGAGATCTCTTTTTGCTCCAAACTAAGCTCTGAACTAAAAATTGAGGACTGATGCTCTTTCCGGTCTTATATAGTTTTCCCCTGACTAGCAATAAATTTCCAGTACCTTCCATTTCTCAAAACTGCTGGAAGGTATACACAGTTATAAATTACATGGGGCTGGATATGGTTAGAGTTAAACAGTAATAGGATCAATTACTGTTATACAGGGATTGGGTTAAAAGGTCGCCAAATGGTCAATAATTTTGGCGATTCTTGGTGATTTCTCAACCAAATTTGCCAACAAAAATTAGTCTCGGTAATCTGATTTTTCCAGTGGAGCTTTGCTCTCTTGTGACATTTCATGTTACATTACACAAGAGATACTATGATTTGACATAATTTCACTAGAATTATTTACAAAAATACAAAATTCATAAGAGAAGTATAGAGATGCAAATGAGAGTAACACTATAAAATAAACTGTTCACCCACAAAACTTCATTTTTTGGCAATTTATATTGATAGATGGTTTCTTAAGGAATTATTACTAAAGTTATTCTACCTAAGCAGGGAACCATCTGTTTCTACTTTATGGCGATTTTGTATACAGAAATAGAAGAAAACATGTTAAGGCCTAATGACCATAACAGCACTAAAAATTGTTATGTGATGCTCTGAGGAAACTGAATATTTGCCTGATTGAGGCCGCACTGACAGACCACTGCTGACCAAATCTCATGCAAACTATATGTCAGCATAGGTGAAATGAAATCATTAGCAATATAGTCAATGAAAAGTTTAGCAGCACTTGAAGAACTACAAGAATTCCACATCTAGCCAAGTTTAATCAGTGAAAAATGTTTGCAGTACTTGGATAACTACAAGAATCCAAGGTCTACCAAGTTTATTAAGAAAGCAAATTTTACATAGTGTGCTGCAATTATATCCCTCAAACTGCAGCAATCACTGCATGACCAGATTCAAAACATCCTCTGGACATAAAATGCACAGTTTTTGGAAGTGCTACTATCCATAATCAGAAGTGGATTTATGAAGTACAAAGTTTATTTCCTCTGAATTTTCAGAGGTCCCTCATCTCATCACCCAATGCATGTTTACAATTACTTCTTAAAACAGAAACTGATTTTGGAGTCCTGTGGAATATAGAGTACCTTGTAACTGTGATTTGCAAGACCTTCTAAATCTGCTTCTGCTAATAATTGTCAAATATGGGTGAAGGACAATGTGCAAGCAATATGTGCAAGCAATATACACAGAAAAGCTATTACATCTCCCATGAACTACTATCTCATGAAGCTTAATAGTATTTGTCATCACTAGCCAATTTGTTTTCTGACAGTCATGGGCTACAAGCAATTGAAAACATGTTCTGTAAAAGGAGAGCATTACAAAAAAAATATTACATACTGAAGTTTCTGGTATACACCAACAACCCATCATCTTTTGCACAATCAAGAAGATGTTATCCACCATAAAGTTGCATCCATACAGCCAGAAATGCTTCCAACATTAGTATGATCATATACTTGCAGAATGTGATTTACTGTGATGGGAGACACAATAAGCACTGAATACTGAAATAAATGTACAGCATTTAAGCAAGCTTTATTCTATTAAACATATCCCAAAAGTTAAACTAACAATGTAGCACCATCCATCAGTATTATAGTGATTGTTTGTTGTCCCGCCCCCAAAAAAAGCACACTTTATGGCATGACTTTTAGCACAAATTGCATCCCTATATCCTAATTTTTCAATCTTCATGAATTAAAAAAAAATTAACAATTTTTGCTGTATTATATATATATACACACACAAGGTATGTTTTTAAGTACCATTTGAAAATAAAAAAGAAACAAGTAGAATTTTCTTGTCAATTTTATTTTTATATGAAAGCCAGTACCTCAATCTATTTTTCTACATAATTTCCACCAATATTAAAGCACTTCTGTATTGTGCAACCAGTTTTTGAATCCCCTCTCCATAGAAGTGTGCCACCTGATTTGCCCGGATTAAATTCCATAGTTATTTAAATTCTCATTTGTGGCCACAACTCACTTGGCACTCCAATCATGCCTATTTCCACATGCACATTTACAATTTTGATACTACTGCGATAGAAGCGAACATAGAAGTTTGCTACAGTGTCATAACAGGATGAAAGTGTAAGCGATACGAGACAGTGTCATAGTAGTAATGTAGAGGAAGATGGGAGGGAGTCAAAGTTTTGGTTTATAATTATTTTGATTGGGCAAGAGATATCTGCATTTAAGTAAGATCGCATGATTAATTTGAATGACGCAGTTTAGACTTGTAGTGCTATTTTTTAGATAGAGAGATGAAGTTCCCAATTTAAATAAAAAATAAAAGAGGTTATAGTCAATTAAATTTAGACATTTACTTTCATATTTTTTATCTTACATATATATAATGCATTATATATATTGCTGCCCTACACATACATATACACACACACACACACACACATAGATATGTAGTATTTTAATTGTGTAGAAGGAATCTAGTACTTTTAACAGCTTGGAGTCGTCATGGCTGAGGATGGATATTTTGATACATTGCAGCTTGAAGTCTACGTAGTTAGATAGATGGATGCATACACCAAAAACTCCCAGATGTAGCTGTTTCAAAACATAATTTTATTCCATTATAATTCACATCAGATCATTTGTAGACAAAGAATTCAGGTTCAGGTTCAGGTTGTAGTGCAGCAGACACCCATTGTTTAACCATTTACCAAGGGTTAAACAATGTATTGTCCAGCTGCACTATCTCTTTAATTGAACATTTTACTTTTTTTGAAAGAATTTTGACATATTTAATTTTTTACATATGATTACAATATAGTTGTGACATATGGTGCCTTTCATACTCGAGTACATAATGGACGAGGAATTCATCCAATCATACAAGTATTTAAATACAATAATTTTTATGTACACTGATTTTAAAAGTATGATGTAAGCATTTTAGACAGAACAGCATAAGTGGCACAGAGTTGTTTTCAGGGTAGAAGTTACGACACGGAATGACGTAGTTGCTTCGAAGAGTATTTATACTAAGTATGATGCATAAATACAGTTAATCTGTGATTGGTTAATTTTAGGTTGTTATGCAACACGGAAAGATCTCAAATTTAGAAAAACAGATGAACTTAGGAGGGAGAACAACAGATTTAGAATAGTTAATTCTGAGACTGACAACTGTTTCTTAAAGCAGCCATCATATTTTATTTTATCTTACATATAGAGAGAGAGCACACACAGTGTATTCTTATCTGCTCCAATGCTGAGGAAGCAGGTCACTGATAAATGAAAAACACAAATAATACAAAATGTCAGTTTTGGATTATTCAGATTATGCCAACTTGATGGTTCTGTTTCTTAGTGTAGAATTAAGAAATCCTACTCAAAGGAATTACACTTAAGGAAAACCTTAGCAATTAGAAAATTTGCAAAGACACCAGTTAACATATATTTGGATCATGCAGCTGTGGATCATTTATTCCAGAAAAAATTTATATGAAGATTTATTACAAGGACCTTTACACTGCAAGAATTCAACCTAATCATTAAATGTACACAAGAGAAAGAAGATGTAGTGTCTAATGCATTATTAAGAATAAAATTAGATGAGAAGAGGGACAAAATCAAATGCACTATGCTAACAACTAATCCTTGATTCTTGTGAAACTATCTTTTTTGAATTACAAATGAGCAATGAATTTAAAAACATTTATGCTTATCTAAAAGATCCAAACCATTTTGAACATCAGGACATAACAGCCAGAACAGTGAAATAATCAATAATCTCTTATTTTATGCAAAAACAACTAACAAAAATGACTAATTAAGATCGGTTATCCCAGCTAGTTTAAGGTTGAGCATTTTGCAAAATGAATTAATAGGGATTGACTTATTAAGCCCAGATGTGAAGTCAATAGAAATAGATGTTTACTAGTTATCATGGATTATATTTCAAAGTAGGTAAAAATATTTCCCCTCAAAAGAGCCTTTTCAAAAACTGTCAGATTCTTTTGAAAATAAGTTGATTTTAAAATATGGAGCTCCATTAAAAGTAATTTTGGACAATGGCAAACAGACTGTTAGTCAAATTTTTAAGGAACTATCTGCAAGGCATGGCAAATGGCACTTTTCCTTATCAGTCACAGTCAAACACAGTAAAGGGGGGAGGGTAAAAATATAGTTAAGATTATTCGTAGTTATTTGTAAAGAATTGTCACAAGCGTTCAGAATAGCTGTGCCAATAATTTGCCATTTGCTTGGTGGATGACTAAACATGACAGTACCTGGAAGAGACCAGCTGAATTATTTCTTGGCAGGATGTTAATTACCCCTCTAGATAAACTATTTTTCATTCACAAGAGGGCTCTGGAGTTAAAAATGGCAGACATCCCAAAGCTAGTACACGAAGCTATCCATAATTCAGATATTGCAAGAAAGCAAAAATTATATTATGACAAAAACTAAGAAACATTAAGGTGAGAGAGAAAGCATTAAAAGTCAAGTAATCTTTATTATGTGGAACTGAAGACAAAGTCAGAAAATTTTGCCCCAGATCTGAAGGCCTATATGAATTCAATGGATACACGAAGCTGTTATTTATTTATGGAAAGAAATGGAATATAGCTGGTTCAAAATACTGAAAAGTTGGAAAGATATTACTTATGATATGACATGCCTCTTTTAAAAGATAATTTGCAAGAACAACAGCCTCACAGAACTACAGTACCCACAAGGAAAGTTACAGAATTGCCATGAACATCGAAGGTACAAATTTCTGATAGTAAGAGACAGAATACTACAGCTAATAGAAAACAAGATGAAAAAGCCAAGAGTTGAACATTCAAGAGGACAGTTGAAGAAGTAGCAGCGGCCAGAATGGAATTTATCCTGGAGCAAACGTCGACCATGACTGAATTCATTACACCAATTTTTATGGTGCTGCAGGATGGTGCTTAATAATCACTGTATAAAGAATTAAGTTCATTGAAGCATTTTTTTCTTGATAATCCCCACTGAAAGATATGAAAAATAATCGTAAGAAAATGTTCCCAACTAAATTCCATTTTTTGCCAGAGATGAATTTTTCTATTTACTGAAAACAACACAAATCATGCTAAAATGACAAAAGGTTCTGAAGAAGTTATGGTTAAAAATATCAAACTTTTGATTGGAATCATCTGCAGTCACCTAGCAACACTTACTGCTGCCAAGGCCAGAAATATAAATAGCAACCTTTATAACTATTTTTTTGAAGATTACTATCCCAATTTAATTTTATCTAATTGAACAACAGCTGATCTAATAGTGGCATGTTACAAATACTAGAACAAAAAAGAGTGAAATGTAACACTTATACAAATGCCATTTGTATTAATGCTTATAATACATATAACTTAAATTCAAAATAACATTTTACCATCATTTTGTTCTTCTTCTTTAAGCTGCTTTTGGCATATATTAATGATCTTTTCACTCAGTTCAGGTCCAGCTAGAACTTGTGAAAACCCAATTCTTGACAACACATGTGCTGCCTTAAATCTTTGTCTTGCAAAACCAGGAACAAATTGTTTTTTCGTCTCAGTGATCAATGCTGACCAATCTACATCAAGAGCATCAACAGCTTCTATGAAACAAAAAAGAAAATTACTGAACAAACAGAAATGAGAATGCATTCAGTCCTTCATAAATCATGCAAGATTAAATTAACTAAGCAATTTTAAAACAGCTATATACTTTTTCAATCTTCTGAAATATATAATAAGTATATGGCTTCATTTTCTGTGATTTAATTCAAAATTTTAAACAATTATGTTTTGTTACCACTTTAAAGCAGATGAGAAGAAGGACATAGCAAAAGCATAAACTTAGGGTGAGTTAGGTACTTTTCTACTCTGCATCATTTAGGGCATGTCTGGATGCTGCATTTGGGCATGAAGGATGCTGCAACTACATTTCAACATACAATGAACAAACTTTTGATCACTCATAGATCATATGCTGAAGCTTATTCGGATGATGTTATATTTTTGAATAGTTGAACAGATCATTTAAAACATCTTAATGCTGTTTTAAATAGCTTAGATGAAGCAAACTTCATGATTAAACTCCAAAAATTCAGCTTTGATAAACTTCAAGTGAAATTTTTAGGACATATTGTAGGTTTCACCTGATCCTGAAAACGTGTTTGGAATTAAAAACATTTTAGCACCCAATATAAAAAAAAGATGTAAGAAATCTATCATCCTGACCTATTAACGAACTTGTCTCCCAAAATTTGCAGAAATAGCATTTCCTTTGCTTAAGCTTATGAAGAACAAAGCTCCTTATAATGTCAAGTGGACAAAAAGACATTATGATGTTTCAAAGAAACTCAAAAGAAGCTACTTGTGAGCTCCTGATTGTGTTGCTGCAAATTTGTAAACCCCTTTTATTATCTTCCCAGATGTTTCCAACTTAGCTGTTGGAACTTGTCTTGCTCAAATTGAAGAAACTGGAATTGAGTGATCAGTTGCTTATGCGAGCAAGAAATTGACACGGTCCCAAGAAAAATATACTACTAGAAGTGTATGCCATTATCTTCGCTCTATGAAAGTTTGAAATTTACATATATGGATCTCAAGTCCAAGCATTGAGGGACCACAACCTACTGACCTATCTGAAAAAATGCTCATTTCAAAGTGCTCGACTTCAGAGATGGTCCCTGGCCTTGGAAAGGTATAACATCAGTGTCAACTACTGCGATAGAAAAAGTAATTTAAATATTGATGGTCTAAGTCGATTACAAGCTACTCATTCAGAAGACATTTGAACTTTTATCAACAATTCCCTAGAAACATTTTACTTTTAGTTTATATAAAATCCAGTATCAAAACCTTGCATTTTAAATATCTCCATTTGCATTTGTATATAATTAATATTAATTTTTTTATATGTTGTTCATTTAGCTGATCTCAGGTAAAGTATTTTTTTTAATCACACTAACTGAGCACCCACTTGAATGGGAGGTGTGATGCAGTATCACACTCTATGGATAGCAAGGACACCAACACTGACAAGACGCAGAGAAAAACAGCAAACCGGATCATGCGGAATGTGTTGAATGGTTTTAAAAAAAAAGAAAGAAAGAAAAGCTTATAAAGCTTATTCAGAGATGTGTACATAGTGTATGTAAAATAGTCATTGTGTTCCATTACCATGAATTAAAATATTAAAAAAAAACACAAATTTATTTTATGAATGATGCCAAATAACTGATGAAAAGAACCTACAATCAATTGTGATGACCAATGATTGTAATTTTCATAAACTTTCATTTCCTGCTATGGATCATGTGACTAGATGAACACTCAATTGGACTCTTCGCATGAGCAATGTAATAACAAATTTATCGCTTTTATATTTGTATATGTGGCTTCATTAATTAAAAGTGTTCTTCATACCTCATTATCTTAATTGTTGGCCTTGAGATGTCTTTCCAATTTATTTATAATACGAAAGTAGGTTATAGTTCTATTTTTGAATTTATCAATAATTCATAGTCACCCTTTATAACTTAATCTTTATGTCAAAAAGCATGAAACTGTATTAAGATTTGTGGGCTTAAATTAAATATTTATAAGAAATTTTTTTCCCTCCTTTCTGCATACCTTTGCCACATAACTGGAAGCACACTCGACACTGGAGGTATGGAGGTATGATTTAGAATGTATGGAGTTTAAATCCTGACAAGAGCAAAGATGATTTCTTCAATTTTCTGGCATAAAAACAAATTCTAAAAGTAAATCTACAAGTGGCACCCAAACTAAAAGGCGGTGGACGCTAATTCTTCACAACCAGAGTTTGCTGACTGGGTCCACTAATCTCCAACCGTCCTTTAAAAGAGGAAGTATATAAGGTATTTTCATCCTCCTTTTTGCATACCTTTGTGATGTAACTAGAAGCACACTCAAAGTGGATTCAGGAGGTCTTGAGTTTGGCCACAGCATTGGGGTTTTCTTCAGTTACCTGACTTGAAAAAATTCTAAAAGACTTTACTAAATTTAAAAAACTGCCTCCTCAGATACTACATACTTAAAACATGAAAATATGTCAACAGCTCTTCTTTTGCATCAGATTAAAAATGTGCAAATACAGTAAAAGATGCAAAAGTTCTACACTTTACAGAAAACAATTTGTAAGATTTTTTTAAGGGGAAAAAAACTATAAAATTATTTTATGTAGTTTATATTCTACTTTTTTAATTGCAATTATCTAAAAATTCTGCAACACACTGATCAGAAAATTTCCAGGATATGTCATCTTTCAAATTGTGATAATTTACCTGCATAAAGTAAATTATTTATTTTTAAAAACTTCTAAAAATGAACAATAACATTAGATATTATACTTCATACAAAGACTATCCCAATAAAACATAAAGTGAAACAGTAGGAATCGTGAAAGCAACATATTTTACTTTCAAATACAGTTTCTTCAAAAAATTGTACAAAGTAACAGTTTTAGAAGAGTTTATAGTTTATTTATTTAATAATTTCTAACAAGAATCTACTTATTGTTTTATATTAACACCATCAGACAATACCAAGGAAATATGTAATGACAATTAGAAGGATGTTTTCTCATATATAAAGTGAGTTTCGCAGCTACTTTTTTCCACTGCTGTTGCTATTATGGAATTATTCAAATACGCTCAAAATAATGTCACACAATTTATATTAAAAGGCGGTGATAAATTCAGAGTCCTTCAATGTATGCAAACAATTTAAAGATCCATGATTCCAAGTAATAAAAACAGTTTGGCAAGTAACCTAATGTTATAATAAATGAATCATAAAGAGACAAAACCTATTATACTATCACAGAGGAAAGCATTGCCATTATAGATCACTTATTGAAGGCTACTTGATAGATAGCTTCATCAAATAGAGCAGAAAAATTAAAACGTTTGGTTTTAAGAAGCACCATGATTCAACTTCATTCAAAACATCAGAATCATCAATATGGCTTTAGGCTTTATAAGCATCTGATACCAACAGACACACCACCTGCCACATATGGCACTGAAGTTCCTTACAGGATACTCACAATTCTGGAAAAGAGTTTTTAATCATTAATTATTGCATGGTGCTGCCTTTCCAAGCCTCTTTGATAATAAAATAGTATTACCATACATTGGATTACCCACCATCATCACTGCCAAAGAAATTTCATCTTGCAAATGTTGGTAAAGCCATTACTGATCTACTTCTTTAATCATATGAGTTTGCTGCTTCAGTGGCTACCACAAAGTGCTTCTTTTGCTATTGATAAGTACTGTAATACTGATACAAAACTTTATATGATAAAAAGTAAATATCCAAGCATATTAAACCTTGTTAATCATGCTGCTGAGTTATCTACCTACTATTGCAGTGTGAAATACTAAAGCACTTTTAATGAGAAGTTGTGGAGCATCCACTGGACCAGTGGTCAGCAAAGTCATTATTCAAAAGAGCCAAAGATCACCAGTACAACAATTAAGATTTATTTTGAGAGCTAAATTTCCTTTCAAGAACCAAGTTTGTAGGAGTAGGTTTAAACTAGCTACTAACATTAAATAAAACCAGATATTATATTAATAATAGTCTTATTTTTTGACAAAAATATTTTTTACATTAAAATAAAAATATGACAAAACATGCATATAATGAGAAAAATGATCTTGCATTTCCTTGGAAAGTTTGGATAAGTCAGGTTTGTATGTAGTTATTTTTAATTTTAAACAGGATTCCAGATTCTCATCAATATAACAATTTCTCAATTTACATTTGATAAGGTTCATACTTAAAAAAGGATGTTCACATGTATATGTAGAGTTAAAGAGTGAAAGGACAGCAAATGCTATTTTTTTAATTGATCATATGAGTCAGGAATACTATTTTAGGTAATGGAAATTATCATATCTTCCTTCTTCAGGTCTTTCAAAACGGACCACTTTTGCTGTGAACTAAGATCATATTTATTGTCTCCATATCAGCATCAAGGCATTCAAAATATGGAGCTCCATAACTCTTGTTTTTTAACTCCAGTAATAGTAATTCAAAAGCACCAATCCTCCCCCCCCCAATATTAAAGAAAGAAAAATTTAGTTAAAGTCAGGACTGAGATATTTTCTAACAAAGGTTAACATAGCTATGCTCTTTCTGAACTACTAGCCACCTAGCCAGTATAGTAGTTTGTGGTGCTGACTGCCATACCGATGGGACTGGATTCAAATTTTAAAGAAGTATGGATGTTTGCAAGATAAGTGGTTAATGGTAAGGGAAGAGTGATGGGAGACCCTTGGACCCCCTTCCCAAGTTGATCTTCCTCAAAATGACGGAGGAACTGCAGTTAGTGAGGCAGGACTATGCTTGTACGACCATTGGTGAACTAATGATGGACCAATGATGGGGTGCTACCCACGTCTACCTATAATGGTTTTTGAATTCCTTGAAATCTCCATAGAAAAGCTTCCATCATATTTAAAATTGTTGTTTTGAAATTGTAAATATCAAATTATTTATATTATCAAATTATGAAGTTATTATGTATTATTATTTATATTATCAATTTATTTATTAATTATTTATTATTATTTATATTATCGAATTATTTTCTTGGCTATGTTTCAGAAGGCTTGGAAAGTGAATTAATGTTCCTCTTTCAAAATCTTGAGGGAAAAAAGATAAACAGTTTTCAAATGAAATGAGATTTTTCAGCATCGTATTTATTGTGTTTCCTTTCTCCTGCAGTTTACAATTAAGACTGTTTAGAAGAGATATAATGAAATAGAATTTTTGAATCCACTGTTTGTCCACCAGTTCAGGATAGTCTGTACCTTCTCAAGGAGTAATGCTTTAATTTCTATTAATAAGGAATTGAAACATTTTAAAATGCTTCCTCTTAAAAGCCAACATACCTTACTATGCAGCAGAAGATCTGCATGTTCACTCTTCATTTCACATAAAAATTCTGTATATTTGCAATGATAAAGAGCTTTAACTAAAATTCTGCTGACAATCCATTTCCATAGTATCAAAAATTTCTTTCAGAAATGTCTGCATACAAAGTGCTTCTAGATAAATGTTGCAATGGTAAACAAGTATCTCATGGTTCATTAATATAGAGACAAAAACCTTCTCTCACTCTGTCATATTTTATGTCTCATATGTTGAAATTGAAACAATTTTATTGAGAGGGATATGATATTTCTCAATGCATTCAGTGATGATATTTGCAATATTTCTCACACATGTTTGACCTTTCAGTTTCAATAATCCTAAAAGTTCCTGTTTAGAACCTGTAGATGAAATAAATCAAATGAAATTGAAGCTTGTTCTATGCCATTTATGTTACAAGATTTGTCAAAAGCTATTTATAAAGATGAAATCCATTTAAGATCATTAATTTGCTGATTAGTTATATTCAAAGACATTTTGACTGATCTCTCTTTTACTGTTTTAGCAGAAGGTGATAAATCTTTAATTTCTTTTTAAGAATTTCTGCTTTGTTCTTAAAATTCTTGAATGACTCTTTTGATGCATTTATTTAAAATAAATTTTAATGTATTCACCATCTGTGTATGGTTTGCTTCTCTTCCTAATCTCTTGACTAACAATCAAGCTTGCAATTTTAACATTGCTGAAAGATTGCACTCAATAATTGTGTGTGTGTGATTATGGCAAAGCCTCGAGGGATATCTGCCTAAGGGGCGGAATGCCTTCATGGAGGATTTTCTAAGGGAAACTGGCTCTTACATACATTACACATGAAGAAAACCATGAAAATGTCCATGCAGCCAGCCCGTTCGCGGGATTCAAACCTCGGACCGAACTACCAGTGTTCAGTGACTTTACAGCTCAACCGCTGGTGGGCTGCACTCAATAATTAAATAGAGAACTTGATTTTCCTTTACTCTTCTGAAGTTCTTCAACTGCTTTCTTCCTCGAATCACCGGCGGAATATTTACTCCCAAATCATGTATATTTTGTTGTATCCTGTATTTCCAAATTTTATTTTATATTATACATTAATTTTTTTAACACATAAGGCAGATGAAAGCCATTTGAGTTTTGAAAAATTCATAAATGTGAATGATTCAGCCCATTCAACTTTAAATTCATGGTTTTCATCTTCTGTTTTATTTTGCAGCCATGTCAAATAGGTGGCATCTAAAAACATGTCTTGTTTTATAACAATAAAAGTTGCAACATATAGTCATAAAACCTTATGAAATTGATGACAAATATAACAGTAAGATTTGCAGCTGACTGAAAGATATAAACAGGATAATGCACCGAGTAGGCACTCTCATTGCTACATCAGGCATGCTAGACACTGACCAATGTAAATACTAATGGACCAGAATAAGCTGTGACTGGCTCAACTCATATGTTAGTTGCATGTGCCTCCTCCATGCCAATCCCACACCATGTTAATCCAACCAACACCTCACAGCATGCATGTAGTCGAAATTAATTAATGGCAAAGCCACACTCGAGTGGCTAAAGAGCCACATGCATCTCACAAGCCATAGTTTGCCAACCACTGTACAAGATCAATCTTGAGTTTTCAAACCATTTAAAATGTTTCTCAAACTCACATATTTTAATCAAGCTATAACAAATGAATGATTCTAGTGACCATCTTCTTTCTATGCAAAAGACATTCAGGAGTGATTATAACCCCATTTTAAAAAAATCATAAAAATTACCATGGCATAAAAATAACAATTTAAAAAAATCAGAATACTTATGTGATATACATATGCATACACACATTTTTAAATAATTTCATTAGGAAAGCAAAAAGCATAATTTTTTAATTTGTTAAGAATTAATTTATGTTTTACTACATCATTTCATAAAGTTATTGATATTTTTGGCTTCTCAACATTTTTTCTACTTTTCTGGGGGAGGGAGAAGATATTAAGTTCTAGGAATTACTGCATTTATATTTTTCTTTGCTAAGAATTATTATTCAGTATGATTTACAAGACACTTTGATGCAAAGAGTTTTCTCATATAAGAAGTTTTTGAAATTCACAGTGTTTTAAGTTTTAGATTTATGTCATTTCTGAAATGACATATTAGTTTTAAAGAAGAATTTGAGAAAATAATGAGTCTACATTTTACAAATATGAAAATTCTGTAATAAGAAAATTAAAAAAACTCAAAATTCCAACTATATCCAGACTGCAATCAGCACTGGACATTAACAAACTTGAATCGCATAAGAACACATACTAAATACAACATGCTGTGAGATATACAGTGGTGGCCAAAACTGTGGACACTTTTGGAAATTTATGTTTTTGAACTTTGTATGCTTATAGAAAATGTTACGTTTCACAAAATGCAAACTTGTATATATCATTTTAAAGAGAATTTATAACTGAATTCAATACACAACACAAAATTCAGTTATTTGCAATACAAAAAAAAAGTTAAACGATAATAGTAATCGATATACATTAGATAGTGATGATTGCAGTGAGTTATCAGTACCTAGTAGGGTACCCTTTATTTTTGATTACAGCTTCACATCGACGTTTCATTGAGTTAACAAGAGTTTTAAGCTCTTCTTTCGTTATTACATGATGCCAGGAAACAATTATAGCCTCAATTAGTTTCCTTTTATCTGATGGGCGCATCATTCAAACAAGAGTTTTCAAACGGAGCCACAAATTTTCGATAGGATTGAGGTCAGGATTGTTTCCTGGCCATGACAACAATTTAATGCTCTTTATACGAAACCACTCTTTCGATATTTTGGCCATGTGGCAAGGAGCAAAATCCTGCTGAAAAATAAACGAAGCATTGTTGGGAAAGAGATCTCTGATGGAAGGTAGAAGTTTTGGTTCTAGAATAGTGTCAATGTATTTTCTGGCATTCAGTGTCCCATCGATGACATGAAGGCGACCAATACCATCTACTGACATGAATGACCAAATCGTAACACTAACTGGGTTCTTCACAGTTGCTTGAATGCAGTCAGGATGTAGCTCTTCTCCTATTCTACATCTTACATATTTTCGCCCTTCACTACCGAATAACGATATCTTAGTTTCATCACTCCATATAACTTGTGACCACTGATCATCTGTCCAATTAATGTGTTCCTTTGCCCACTGTAGTCTTTTTTTTCGTTGCTGAAAATTAAGATAAGGCTTTTTTCGTGGAATTCTACCTCTCAGTCCAACATCTGTTAATCTTCTCCTGATAATTCTTGAACTGACAGAAACACCAGCATCATTCAGATCACTTCTGATGGCCGCTAATGACATTTTTCTATCTTGGAGACATAGTCTTTTTATTCTTCTGTCATCAATAGATGTGGTGTACCTTTTTGGGCTTCCTACTTCTTTTTTATTGAATTTGTCTCCTGATATCGTAAACAAAACTTAGACTGCAGATGAAGTCACTGAACCACCCACCTGTCTTGCAATTTCAGCATAGGAAAGACCACTTTCTCATAACACAATAATATTACATCTCTTTCTAGGTGTCCAATCTACTCTTTTATTTGATGTCATTGCTTCTTGACTAAATATTAAAATTTTTACAAAATTCCTACTTGTAATTGCAGTGTATAAGAAACAGGTCCTCCTTCTACAGAACAAAACAAAATAATGAATTGTTTCCAGTGTAAACATGATGTCAGCTTCTACTGGCAGTTACTAACATTTGATTGGTTCTCAGAACAAGAACAGTGATTGGCCAGGAAAGCTAGACATTACAAACCACTTCATAACTGTGTTTTTTATTTATATTAAAGTACATATAACGTTTTTTTGTATTGCAAATAATTGAATTTTGTGTTTTGTATTGAATTCAGTAATAAATTCTCTTTAAAATGATATATACAAATTTGCATTTCGTGAAACGTAACATTTTCTATAAGCATACAAAGTTCAAAAACATAAAAATTTCCAAAAGTGTCTACAATTTTGGCCACCACTGTATATCATTTTTATAAAACTTTTATTCCCAGAATACTCTTTCTGTGTTGACAACACATTTTGTTGGATTTAATTTGTATTTCAGTTCAAGATTCAAATACTTTTTACACATGATATAACTCATATTCTATCAATAATAGCTAGCAAATAGTCAAAAACAAAGTATACAAAATAATTTTAAATGCCTGTAATTTTCAAGCACAAAAGCTCTTTCTCAATAACAGTCAACTTCTTCATGAGAAAAACCTTCACTAAAAACATGTAATAAACATTATAAATTTTTAAATTTTTAATTTGAAACTTACTAGACTTCTCATTTTCATTTTCTGTTTTCATCAATGATTCATCAGGTTCTTCAATAAGAGCATCTAGATCATCTTCATCATCACTAATAGGATCATAATCAACACTCTCAGCAGTTATATATTCATCAACATCAGTAGCTGTAGTTAAGAATTTGTGCATAATTGAATATTTTTTAATTATTCAATAAGAAATTCATTGCAAATGCTATATTGCACAATTACATAAGTTTTATAATACAAAACTCACTATAATAAGTTTTACAAAATACACTAATTATATTACACTCTACCTTAAGAAAATACATTACAACAAATAACAAAATGTTACTGCATTAAATAAATACAATCTTAAAATTCTTTATATGAAGATGCAATTTTTAAAATATTATAATTCTATTATAAATTACAACATTTAAAATAGTACAATTCTATAATAATTTAACACAGCACTGTCCAACTTACCATAGCCAGCGGGCCATATTTTCTTCACCCAAACATTTCGGGGTCCGAGAAGGTTGATAAATGAAAAGTAAGTTTATGTAAATTAAAAAAATATTTTATTTATACTAAAAAGGAAACTTTAAATTATTTGTAATATATTAATGAGAACATTGTGGCCATTATTGTTTAGCAACATCTTTTAAGTCCACATCAATATTTGTTAAGGCAAGTCTAATTATATCTTCAAGAGTGGAATCTTTCAAAATGTTTCTATATTTTGACTTAGTATATTTCATATCGGAGTATGCACGCTCTCAGATATATGTACTTCCGAACACTGATCAGGGTTGCCACTCAAACAGGAGAATGAAATTCCCTGACTTTTCCAGGTTTTCCAGGTGTGTTTCAAGAAAATTCCAGTCTATTCGCGTAATGTACTTTAGCTACACTAAGAGGTAAATTAATTATGGTATTACTTGTATTGTGTAGCAAATTCACTTAATTATTCAATAAATCCCAGAGGACATTTATTCTTAATTATTCTTGGTATACTTTGTTTGATAATTTTGTTTACTTTTCCACTTAAGAAACTTAATAAAATTTAAGATATATAAATTGGATAACAAATGTATGTTTTTATTTAATTATTACTCATGATCATCACCAGTTCAATTTCAACACGAGGCTAATCCGGTCCTTATAAATCACAACGCAATGCTAAATAGTTAGGTTAGATTTTAGGTAAATTTAATTTGTGTGAGGTATGTTCTTCTTAAAAAGCACCTTAACACTTGAAAACACAAATATAATTATAATAGTTGTTGTTTTTTTTCTCCATTGAAGATTGAGATTAGAATCTTCCCAATCTGGAATAAAATAAGGCTTTTTTTTGCAGACATTCTGCAGCTAAACGAAAGAAAGAAATCTATTTTAATAAATTGAGGTATTTTATATTTATTTATTTCGCAGCATACATAAGGAAAAAATATGTGCATTAAATTTCGTGATGGTATGTCATCATACTGCTAGAATTAATTTCAAGATTATGCCAGAGAAAATTTCCTGAAATTTGGAAATATTATTTACTAATAATAAATAAATTTAGAGGGAAGAAGCATCATTAAATTATACGAATAACATAAAAATAAAGATAATTACTTAAAAATTGAATTAGAATAATAATCAACGATATTTTAGCGAATATAGTTATATTACATGGTTAGCCTAGATGACTGATTACTATTTTTTTATTTTACTGCAAAATGGCAAGGTATTTATTAAAAAGAAAGAAAAAAAAAAGTTTAAAAAGATTTTGCGGTAAAATTCTAGTATACGGTAAGGCTTTGGCACGATTTTGAAAATTGTCGCCAAGACCAAAATGACCCGTTTACTGCGCATCATCATGTCGCCAAATCCCATACCATACATGGAGATTATTCTAACCAAAGAACGTCTATGCAAAGAATCTCTAATTCTTTGGTCTATGTAAAGAAGAAAAGGTTTCCATACAAGTAAAATGCTATTACGCCGCTAGAATGCGGAGGGAAAATTTGCCAAGGGATTTGGCGACGGAACCTGGCGGCCAGAATTTCCCTCTCCGCGATGTGTACAGGAAATTGAGAAAACGTGTTAAGAAGAAACGTTCTTTGACAAAAAGAAAGCTACGAAAATCCGTTTTTAAATTATTGCGAAAAATCCAAGAAGAAACGTTTTATCAAAGGACGTTTCTTCTTGGATTTTTCGCAATAATTTTAAAAACGGATTTTCGTAGTTTTTTTTTTTTTTTTTTCCCCCCCTGAAAATTACTAACCATGAATTAATTTACTTGCGCCAAAAAATATTTTCTTTTCTTTTCCTTTAGAGTTTAACCACTTGCGCTAAGACTAAACTTCACGGTTGCGGTGCCGTGCGCTACAATATAAGCAAGTGGTAAAGTGTCTCATTTACGCCGCTCCGCATCTGCGAGTGCAATCCAGAGCTGTAACTCGAGAAAGAAAAACAATCTCGTTGTTAGGCGACGTGTGCACACACATGTTATTTTCATTTTTGCGATAAATGCTTATCGACGTGGTGTTCACGTCGCTCGCAGTTTGAGACAAAAACATCTCGACGTGCGTGGCACGTCTTTTTAGCGCAAGTGGTTAAAGAAATTTTAAAGGATATTCATTTTAATGAACTCTTGATAACGTGACCTTCGAACTTCGACACCGGTTTTCGAGCTTTGGCGGCAGATATATCACGACATGCACAGCTGTTTCCCTCTATGATGGAACGGAGCCACGTCTGTTGCAGAGAGGTTTTTCCTTCTTTACAATACATATTCTTTGATTCTAACCTCCATGGTACCGTATACTAAGATTAAACCCATTTGTTTTATACGAGAACAGGTACTTTCTTTAGTTCATGCACTGCACATGCGATTCTCGAGAATACTGGAAACCAAAAGTTGCGGGAAACTTGCTTTGCCTTTCTAAAAGACAATCAAATTGGAGCTGCGAAAATTGGCTCTATGCCAGCTGCCCGAATGACACTCACGTGATAGGCAATTCGCCAAAAAAGTTATCTCTTCCGACGTCGGCGCAAAAATCGCTTTTTTTGGCGGGATCATTGTATGAACTTCCCTGACTTTTCCAGATTTTGACAAAAATACTTAAATTCCCTGACTTTTCCCTGAATTTTTTGGTCAATTTTCGAATTCCCTGACTTTTTCCCGGTTCTCCCGGTTTTCCAGGTAGCGTGGCAACCTGCTATACAATTTAAGTCTCTCTCACTGGATACTACGACTCAAATTAATGGTATCTGCAGCTTATTTATTTTTTTAAGATCATGGGTTGATATCATATATGGATCACAAAATATATGGTTTGATCATCAAATTGAGAATCTTTCATTGAAATCTGTAATTAGCATAGCCAATTTGAAAATATTTTAAAATTCGCTTCTATATTACATTCCTTCATTTCTTCATATATCTCTTTACAAGATTCAAAATGAAATAAATTATTTTGCTCCAAATTAAACCTTAACAATTTTAATTTGTTTCTAAATCCAGCAACATATTTACACAGGCAACACACATTTTGATCTTGTCCTTGCAAGGCTTTATCAAAATATTTAAATAATTTGTAATTTTCGTTAGGAAAGCAAGTGAATAAATAAAATTTTTATCAACTAAATTTGCTGTTAAATTTTCAGCGACGGCTATTTCTGTAAGAAAAAGATGAACATCTTTTCAAAGTGTAAAGAATCTCGTCAAGCACTTTCCAGCACTTAACCAACGAACATTACTATGTAAAAGCAGATCTCCATACTCAGTTTCCAATTCATCCAAAAATGTTTTAAATTTTCGGCGTGTAAGAGAAAGATTTCCGCGCGATTAAATTAGTAATTTGCAACCTCCTCCATTACAGTTTATTGTAGGAATAAACCATAATCCTCCTGATGGATATTATAGCGTAACATACGTCATGTTATCCTTTTTGCAAAGTCGCGCAAGCCCAATATTTTACCGTCATAGCTCTAGCCACATTGGTTTACAATAGCAGTGCACTTGTCAAATCCGCCATACTGCTCACTGAAATTTTAATTGTTTTTTGTAAATATCTTCACCTTTGTTGTTCCGTGTAATGATTGTAATTTTAAAAGTTCTTCTGAATAATTATAGTTTTCATTTACAGTTCTTATAAAGATAAGCATTTTTACTCTGCATCAGATAAAGGAATGTCTGCTACCGAACAAAGAATATTTCCAGATTTGATTAGTAATACCATGAGTAAGGGCCTTATGCTATCACTTCTATGGACTCGCGCGCTTACCCGAGACAATTCCGAGAAATGAGATTCTAGTAGTACGGCTTTAAGCGGCAGTCTTCCGAGAAATGTTTCGTCTAGCGAGGAGGAACCTGTCCCGGCTACGAGCAACATTTTAAAATTTATCTGAAAATGTTCCGGCTGGAGACGTGTTCCTAGAACGTTCAACTAATCAGATGAAAGTTCTGCTTCTGAAGGATCACGGGTAACTTTCAATATGGCGATGGCTCTCACTGTGAAGTGATGGACGGTGGAAATAGAGGCCGATTTAAATATTGCTGTTTTGTTGAATACAAACTGCCTGCGTCATTTTTTAAATGTGTATATTCATTAAATATATAATCGTGGAATTTCAGAGTTGACATGTTTACGACTTCTTGCATTTCGGATTTGTTTACAAATTGTTCGTAGCCAGAAGTTCGCCAAATTTGTCGTATTTCATGCTGATCGTTTATTAACACTGTTTATATAATAGAATTTTATTTCTTAAATTTGAATTTTTTAAATTCCGTTTGTATGCGCGGAAAAATCATTGACCACTTTAAACAGCATAAAAGATGCATAAAAAAGAAAAGCATAGCTTAGTATAATGAGGATAATCTAAATTTGTCTATTATTTTCATGTTATTAATGAATACTTTTTGAATTATAAATACATTAGAAACTATACTTTTATTGTAAATGCTACATATTGAAACATTGAAAATTATGGATTTATTATTATCATGATGAAAACATTTGTATATACATCATTAATATAAATCTTATTCATTACTTTATACTAATAAATATATATTCCAACTTCTAAATTGCTCTCTCTATCTGATGTAAATATATGACTTATTAGATGTGGTATATATATATATGTATGTATGAATAATACAAAAATGAACATTGCCAAAGTTTATTTGAAGTTACTTTTTATTCAGATAACGATTATGTAATTGCAGCAGCATAGTTATCAGTTCTTTGCAAATTATTATGGGTATTAATAATCATTTGAAAAAATTGATGAGTATTTGAGTACTAAGAGTGTACATATTTGTTATTGGGTTAATTCATAATTTATCATACGTATGATCTACATAATAAAAACATGACTAATAAATAATAAGAAATGTAACAGCTGTGCATTTATAACATTTGATTACTTAAAACAACGCCCACTGATTATCACCTTCATGTCGTTTACATAATGATTGCACTTTCCATTAAGTGCACGGGCCTACTAGTGCCGAAGCATCGTTGAACACTGTAG